TTCGAAGATACGAGGGTGGCTATCTGCTCTATATGACATGGCGAACCAGCAAGCAGACTGTATGCAGCAGGTGAAGACTGCTTGTGAGAGTTCAGATCACGTCGGGTATACCAGTTTAGAGATTTTAATTTAATTGAAAATGTGTTCTTGGCTACTCGCTACAATGTAGCATTACCTGGCCTTGTATAGAGAATAAAAATGAGTCACAGGGTACCCCGTATAAAACAAGAAAAGTTACGTGTGAGTACTAAGGATGGAAAAGCATAAACGACGGCGGCGTGTAACGTCGGTGCGAGAGTGCAGTGTTCGGACACAGGGCGTCACAAAGGGAACCAGAGGTGGCGGACTAAAAGTCCTCAGTCTTAAGTGTCACATCTAAACATACTTTAAATTCCATACTTTTATTTGTCCATTAGGGAGATTCGATGTGGCGGTAGGACAGAGGGCAGATGAGTTATGCTCCAAGGGGCTCTACATAATTATGCTATGAATGTAGCGCAAAACTCTGACTATTGTCCTCATTATCTTAGATGTATTCCTCCTATTACACTTAGAGTGATAAGTGAAATGGTAGCTGAAATACAACTATGCTTGATTAACAATCCCACGACAGAATGTGATATGAAAAAATGTCTGGCCTTCCTTAAAATCCACATCTGCCCAATGACCCAAAGGCACACGAGGCAATGTGTGGTGTAGTGGTTAACGTGTCGATTTTATACACTGCACTGTCATGGTTCGAGTCCTGCTGGGGATGCTGATGAGACCAATGTAAGCGAGGTCGAAACTGTAGTCCACTCCTGACTGGATGAAAATACCTTTTGGGAACGCAAGGCTAAGTGAAATTCAATGAAAGCGTCACGTCTACCCATGTGATTGCGGGAAAATTCAACTACTAGTCCTTTATCACCTTAAACGAAATAGGCTGAACACATCTTATATGTATTATCTACGGGTAGTCTCGAACGCCTACTTTTAAATGAAATGATGCTTAATCATTGATTATTTTGCAACTTGATTTAATTATTGTCAAACTTCTTATATGGTTTCCTTTTTAAGGTAGGATTTCCAATCGAAACATTAATATATTATCAATTTAAATTATCTGTATGTTTCTAAATTCTTTTTATTATTTTCAATTTGTCTGAAACTTACTTTTTCTATACTCAGTGACAACGAAAAAGCAGAACTCTACTGGAAGCGCTATTTGGCCATGGATAACAGTGCCATCGCAGGTGAATTTTTTAAAGAGTATTTTTCAAATCATCTTCCAATCTAACCTATTCTCACCTTACTTTTCAGATTTATTCGTGGGCCAACTTATGAGCACTCTGGAGTGTACCGAGTGCAAGTTCAAGTCTACAACTTTTGATCCTTTCTGGGACCTAAGCCTGCCAATTCCTAAGGTTTGTAAGCATGTTTTATTTGTCTTGCGCTTCGTTTTTTATCTGAACTTTAGTCACCTTGTAATTACCTCCGGTAATTGTTCTTCTTTTAACTTCCTAATTTATCTCTACTAAGCTCACTTTTATTCAAGAAGATAACAATGGATTCTTCTGTTACTTGGCTGATACAATTGTCCCCCAGTCAAATGACTACTCCAAGCAAACACCAAGTAAAGGCAGTAAACTGGCTTGCCTCTACACGCAATACATACTCAGAAACCAGTGAATCTTTGGAGGCATAGAATACTTTCATTATTTCGCATTCGTATCCATTTACTTGTATTTTTT